ACTGCACTCCAGTCTGGGCGACAGAGTGAGACTCCAACTCAAAAAAAAGAGAAAGAAATAGAATTGAAACTTTCCTTCCCTTTGGTGGTAGAAAAGAGCACAGAAAAGAATTAAAGCACAGATGGCGATTTTCTTTTTTCTTTTTTTTTTTTTAAGTTGGAGTCACACCCTGTCACCCAGACTGGAGTGCGGTGGCCGCTCCCGGCCACCGCAGCCTCGACCTGCTGGGCTCTGGCGATCCTTCTGCCTCAGCCTTCCAAGTAGCCAGAACTACAGGCGCGCGCTACCACGTCCGGCTCATTTTGATTTTTATTGTGGAGATGAGGTCTCGTCAAGTTGCCCAGGCAGGTCTCGAACCCGCGGGCTCAGGCAGTCCACTCACCTCAGCCTCCCAAGGCGCGGGTTACAGGCTGAGTCACCGAGCCCGGCTTCAGATGGTGATTTTCATAGCTCTGGGCACTGCCTTGGGTGGGAGACAGCTGTTGGGGGTGGGAGGTAGTGCCTTACTAGGCCCAGAAAGACCAGGCCTGTGGCCGGAGTCTGGGCAGTGACTCCCGCCCTGCCCCGCCCCTTCCCAGGCCAGCTGCACCCCACGACTGCCCTTGGGTTCTATGACCCAACCCCAGTTCCCATCAGGGGAATGATCACAGGGGCCCCTCCCAGGCCCAGCCCGTGCGCACCAGTCCGCCACATAGCTGCCCCGGCCTGGATTGAGCAGGGGTGGAAACTGAGGCAGCCCCTGAGGATACTGTGATGCCATGTGCTGAGAAAGGATTGATAACAACAGCCTTCTGTGCCGGCAGATCCGTGTCAGAGTGATTGAGGGCCGGCAGCTGAGTGGCAATAACGTACGGCCTGTGGTCAAGGTCCACGTCTGCGGCCAGACACACCGAACAAGAATCAAGAGAGGGAACAATCCGTTTTTTGATGAGGTAAGGGGGTGGAGAGTGCTCAGAGTCCCATGGGGGAGGCAGGAACACGAGCAAACTTATCTGATGAAAACATTTTGGAGTCCCAGGGCTGTCTGCCCTGACTCATGCCTGTAATTCCAGCACTTGGTGGGAGGATCGTTTGGGCCCAGGAGTTCAAGACCAGCCTGGGCAACATAGCCAGACCCCGTCTCTACAAAAAAATCAACAAATTAGCCGGGGAGGGTGGCATGTCCATCGTGCATATATTCTACAAACGAGTGGTCTAGCTACTTGGGAGGCTGAGATAGGAGGATCACTTCAGCCCATGAGGTCAAAGCTGTGGTGAGCTGTGATCGTGCCACTACACTTTAGCCTGGGTGACTCGGTGAGACCCTGACTCAACAGTAGTATGGTGCTCCAGAGTTAAACATACAACGTTAAGAAGCCCCGGGTGTTCAGATCACCTCGTTGGCTTTGCCATTGGTTCTCAGGCATGCTGATGTCTCTGGGGTATTTCAGCAGTAACTTCCAAATGGATCACTTCCTGATGGATTCCGCCATCCCTTGTCATAGAGCCCGTGATGTCACCCATATCTGCCTTTGCTTTTCCTAATCAGCAGGATGTCCCTGAGGGACGACTCTGTGTGACTAAGTGATTCAGTTTTTTAAAGATGTCAAAACTTACTTGGCTGTAAAAATAATATATGGTCGACCAGACATGGTAGCTCATACCGGTAATCCCAGCACTTTTGGAGGCCGAGACAGAAGGATCGCTTGAGCCCAGGAATTCGAGGCTAGCCTGGGTAACATTAACTGAGACCTTGTCTCTGCAAAAAAATCAAGAAGGGCAACCCTCTCTGGTCCCCTCCCACTGTGGGAGCTTTTCTGTCCTCTCAATACATCCTGCTTTCAAAAAAGAAAAAGAAAGAAATTAGCTGGACATGGTGGTTGCATGCCTGTAGTCCCAGCTACTTGGGAGGCTGAGGAGGAAGGATCGCCTGAGCCCAGGAGGCTAGGGTGAGCCATGATCGTGCCACTGCACTCCAGCCTGAGCAACAGAGTAAGATCCTAACTCAAAAAAAAAAAGAATTTTTTTTCCAGATTAACATTTACTGACCTGACATGGTGAAACCTCAACATATCTAATATCCATTGCCCAAGAACCAATCTTCTTAAAATTAACTGTTGCAATAAATGAAAATGTAATCGCTAATGATTCTGCTGAAGCCCTAACATAAGAAATGAGGGGACCCCAAAAAAGACCAGAATGATCTTTTGAAGGATGGGCCCCTCGTAGTACAGGCCTTTCCCGTTAGGTAAGTGTTCTAGGAAGCCACTGGCATCCATGTGCCAGCTAGCGTTGTTGTGAGAGGCTGCATTCAGCTTCAGCGAATTTCTTTTTTGAGATTCTTTCAACATGCTTGCCCATTTCATGATGGGTGATTTACGAGTGCACCTGTTCACCCGGCACTGAGTGTTCAGCAGTTTTTAAACCAAAACCAGCATGATCCCCATGCTCCACCCTCCCTATTCACCCGATCTTGCCAAGTGATTTTTTTTGTTTCCCTGGATGAACTAAGTCCCCAGTGGGAAACATTTTGCCCACATGGAAGAGGTGAAACAAAAAACAGCACTGAAAGACTCAAAATTGATGCGTTCAAAAACCATTTTGAGCAGTGGAAAAAGAGTCTCGATAGGTGTTTTGAGTCAGACGGACAACACTTTGAAGGTGACTGAAGTTTATACATGTAAGAATAAATACACAATTTTAAAATTAATAAATTCCTTTTTTATATCCCCCCCCATAACATAATCTAATGGGCAAGGTTGTCTTTGAAAGTGTTTTCTTAGAAAGAGGAAAATTAGAGTGATTAGACATAAAGGATATTGCTAACACAAAGAATTAAACAGACACTCCAGGTCACGCCAGTCCTAAGCGCCCATTTTAGTAAGAGTGGTTGGTGGCTCAGCCTGTCATCCCAGCACTTTGGGAGGCCGAGGCGAGTGGATTGCCTAAGCCCGTGGGTTCGAGACCCGCCCAGGCAACTTGGTGAGACCTTGTCTCTACAATAAATCAAAAAATTAGCTGGGCGTGGTGGCACACGCCTGTAGTTCCAACTACTTGGAAGGCTGAGGTGGAAGGATTGCTGGAGCCCAGCAGGTCGATGCTGGGGTGGCCCTGAGTGTGTCCCTGCACTCCAGCCTGCACGACAGAGTGAAACTCCACCTCAAAGAAAATAAAATAAAATAAGAGGCGACCCTCTTAGGTTCCCTCCCATTGTGCAAGCTTTTCTGTCCTCTCCATAAATCCTGCTTTCTCAAAAAAGAAGAAGAAGAAGAAGAAGAATGGCGACACAAAATAGCCTTGGATTTTCATTTCATTTGGCTTGTAGGTATCTAGTCTCAAACGAACAATTGTCTTGAGTGAAATAAACACCGTGTCTGTTACTTACCTCTTTCCCCAGCATGCAGAAGTGGGTTGACCATGAGGCTTAAACTTCAGAGCCTTTCCCAAGGCCCTGCCTGTGTTCGCGTGACTTCATTTTGAGTTGGTGTTTTGTGTTTTTTTAGGAGGGACCCCAAAATCATAGCATCAGATTTTCTTAAACCTGAATCCTCTGCTGACACTTAAACGTTTCCTCTCTTGTCTCGACAGTTGTTTTTCTACAATGTCAACATGACGCCCTCTGAATTGATGGATGAGATCATCAGCGTCCGGGTAAGGGACCACGTGTAGGAAGTCACCGCTCACTCACTGCAGACAAAGCCGGTCACCTCCTGACTACTGTTCTCTTTTCCAGGTTTATAATTCCCACTCTCTGCGGGCAGATTGTCTGATGGGGGAATTTAAGGTGGGTGACAGCTGCCTGCTTCATTGCACTTGCGCGAAGACGAGAACTTTCCTAACGGGAGCTGTGATTCCTGGGTCCCCATCTTGGTGATATCTTAGGGCTACACGTGAGGGGTCAACACCATGACCCTTGCTGAGGGCTGCCCGGGGCTTGTCTGCTTCCAATGTAGAACACTTCACAGTGCCCCAAAGCAAGACGCCCTGAAGCTGCCACATCAGGGCCCGTGCCAGGGTTCCATCTGTAGGCGGGTGCTTGACTACGGTGAGAAACCCACCGTCCCCCTCCACCTCCAGGGGCTCCAGATTTCCATCTACAAAGTCAGTTATTATAAATCTAGAATATGAGAGGAAAGGCAAACCAGGCAAGAGACTCTGGGTGCTTTTCTAAGTAACTCTCCTTGGAATTAAAAGACAACTATTTGGTTGGCTTCTTACCAGCAATTTTACATGAGATTGGCTGCCTGTGATCACTAGAAGTCCTAAGGATGATCTGGGTCAGGCAGACCTGTGTTCATATCCTGTCTGCCAGCCCCTAGGCACGTGTCCCAGGAGAACTCAGCCTCTCTGATCCTTAGTTTCTCCGTCTGTAAAATGGGGTCCCTGTGAAGATGAAACGAGATCATGTGTGTAAAGCACTTAGCACAGTAGCTGACACATCAAAGTGCCCAATCAAGAGTTATACTAGCCGGGCTCAGTGGCTCAGCCTGTAATGCCATGCTTTGGGAAGCATGGATTGCCTGAGCCCACGGGTTCGAGACTCGCCTGGGCAACTTGGCGAGACTTCATCTCTACAATAAATCAAAAACTAACCAGGTATGGTAGCGCGCGCCTGTAGTTCCAGCTACTTGGGAGGCTGAGGCGGAAGGATCGCTGGAGCCCAGCAGGTCGAGGCTGCGGAGGCCGGGAGTGGCCATTGCACTCCAGTCTGGGCGACAAAGTGAGACTCCAACTCAAAAAAAAAAAGAGTTATACTAATATTAGCATGAGTTGGAGGAGAAGGTGAAGGAAGATTGGACGGAAAGTTGAGCTAGGCGAATTTCTGTAGAATGATCAATGGTCACAGTTTGCCTGGGACTTTTAGCGCTCGAATTCTACTTCCATTTTTTCTTCCAACTCTAAGACTAGCTCATTGACTCAACAGTGATTTACTGAGGATCCTCCGTATGCCACATGTCAGCTAAGGCATTGGGGATACAGAGAGGGTACGATGGAAGTATGGGATTGCAAGGAAATTTAAGTGTAGTCAAGAGTGCTGTATTTTTTTTTTTTTTTTTTTGAGTCGGAGTCTTACTCTGTCACCCAGACTGGAGTGCAGTGGCCGCTCCCGGCCACCGCAGCCTCGACCTGCTGGGCTCCGGCAATCCTTCCGCCTCAGCCTTCCAAGGAGCTGGAACTACAGGCGCGCGCTACCACGCCCGGCTAATTTTTGATTTATTGTAGAGATGAGGTCTCTCCAAAGGAGCGCTGTATTTAAATACAGTCATAATGCTTTCTTGAAAGTGATTGAACTGATTTTAAAATCTATTTAAATTTTAAATTCTTTTTTCCCAGATTGACGTCGGATTCGTTTATGATGAACCCGGTAGGTAATGTTGTTATGTGTTTGAAGTCTTCCTTCCAAACCAATGGACACAGAGCCCCAGTGTGCTCGTTGCTTTTAGAGTAATGTTTTAATTAAGTAGAAGAACCCCAATTTTAGCTAAAAATGAAGGTAGCATGCATTGATTCAGTATCCAAAGTGCATAGGTAAACTGAGGTACAGGCATCAATCAGGGAAAGCGAGAAACTCTTAGTAAGTGACATTGAGTATTCAAGTTAACTGAAAATGAGGATTAAAAATTCTACTTAGATTAAAAATGAGAGTAAAACAAATGATCTCAGCCGGGCTCGGTGGCTCAGCCTGTAATCCCGCGCCTTTGGGAGGCTGAGGTAAGTGGATTGCCTGAGCCCCCGGGTTCGAGACCCGCCTGGGCAGCAAGACCTCATCTCTACAATAAATCAAAAAATCAGCTGGGCGTGGCAGCGCATGCCTGTAATTTCGGCTGCTCGGAAGGCTGAGGCGGAAGGATTACCGGAGCCCAGCAGGTCGAGGCTGCGATGGCCAGGAGTGGCCACTGCACTCCAGTCTGGGCGACAGAGTGAGACTCCAACTCAAAAAAAAAAATAAAGCAAATGATCTCTAAAAATGCATCCAACCTTTGGTAAAGAATCGGGATTCTCATCTAGGAATAATGAAAAACCTAGTAAGAGGGTTAAGCAGACAAGTGTTCCTGTGTCTCTTGTCAAACATCTCTGAAGAAGATTCTAGAAATCAAGACATTTTTGAGAAGATCAAGGAATTAGAGTCAAAGGAATTTTTAAAAATTATTTTCTTGGCGGGGCTCGGTGGCTCAGCCTGTAATCCCAGCACTCTGGGAGGCCAAGGTGAGTGAATTGCCTGAGCCTGCGGGTTCGAGACCAGCCCGGGCAACTTGGTGAAACCTCATCTCTACAATAAATCAAAAAGTAGAAGAATCACCAGAGCCCAGCAGGTCAAGGCTGTGGTGACCAAGAGCATGCCACCGCACCCAGCCTTGGCGACAGAGACAGACTCCAACTCAAAAAAAAAAAATTATTTTCTTGTTGGGGGAGGGGAGAGGATGCTTAGTGGGTATAAATAACAGTAGCTTAGTTTGGATGTCTGCATTGTTTATCATAACACTCCTAAATTGTCTATGTTTTGTGAGCGCATCTTGATTTCTGCAGATTACATTACAAAACTAGTTAACACAGTTTAGGGAGTCTTGTTTGAATCACATGAGGCCAGGGTAGGGAGAGAGAGAACAGACAGAGGACGTTGGCATGGAGACCCTCTGGGGAATTTGGTTTATGGGGAATTTTGCGTGCTTGGTGAGACATCCCAGGAAATGCTGGCTGTCTTATGGGCAGATGAAATCCCAGGCCTGTCAGCGTCTCTTTAGAGTGTCCTTGTCCCTTTGCCCCTTTGCCCCTTCTTAAGGTCATGCTGTCATGAGAAAATGGCTTCTTCTCAACGACCCCGAAGATGCCAGCTCTGGTGCTAAAGGTTACATGAAAGTCAGCATGTTTGTCCTGGGAACCGGAGATGAGCCTCCCGTGAGTACCCAGATTCCCTCCCTTTTACACTTTTGATTGAAAAAGAGGACCCAGAATTAAGCACGTGGGCACCCGCGATTGTGAAATGGACCACAAACAGTCCCCAACCCCTCGATTCTGCCTTTTCTTCATAAATGATCGTGTTAGCTCACTCCGACTCCTTCCCTGTGTCTGGGAACGAGTGTTTCATTCAGAAGAGATGTGTTTTCACAACTCCCTTGCATCATTGGAAGGACTGCTTTTATCTGGAGAGCACGACTTCCTTGCAGAGTCAGGCATTGCTACCTAAACAGTTGGGGATTATTTGGGAAAATTGGGCCCCTGACTGGGATATCGCTAGTGGTCCAGAGAAACTGAAAGAACATCACGAACACACACACACACACACACACACACACACACACACACACACACACACACACCCCACTATTTGGTGCTCATAAAATTACAAAATGACAACAGACATACATGAGCATTGATTGTGTAGAGCAGGTCTGAGGGAAAACTGGTGACTGATGGTAGCTGAACTCAAGCGTTCACTTTTTGTGCCCATTTGGCTTTTTCTTCAAGCACGACTTTTTTTTTCTTTTAAAGATGTGGGGTACAATTCAGGGTTAGGTATACAAATGGTCATTATGCAGGTCCCCTTGTTGATAAGGTATGCCCCTCCCTCCCCTGGCAGTTTCCCTCAACTGCCAATCTCACCCCCCTCCCCTGGCAGTTTCTAACTACTGCCAATCCCTTTCTAATAGTATTATGATAATTTTTCAAGGTCTGCTTATGAGTGAGAACATGTGGTACCCAGTTCTTTGTTTCTGTGACAGATCACTCAGTATGATAGACTCTAAGTCCATCCAAGTTGCTGCGAAGTTCATAATTTTGTCTTTCTTTATGGCTGCATAATATTCCATCATGTATATATACAAGATTTTTTTTTTATCCAGTCCTCTTTCGATGAGCAGCATGGTTGGTTCCGTGTTTTTGCTATTATGAACAATGCTACAATAAACATGCGTGTGCAGGTATATTTTTCATAGAGTGATTTGACTTCCTCCGAGTATATTTCCAGAAGGGATTTCAGGGTTGTATAGAAGGTTTTCCAGCTGCTTTTCTATGTGTATAATGTTAATCGTGTGTTGCCCATAGCCTGAGAAACGCGATCGCGACAGTGATGGTGACGACGTGGAGAGTAATTTGCTGCTCCCTGCTGGCATCGCCCTGCGGTGGGTGACCTTCTTACTGAAAATCTACCGAGCTGAGGACATTCCCCAGAGTACGTGCTGATTTCATCTGGCCCCGGGATTATCAGTTAGCTGCGCCATGGGATGTGTTGAGATCAAACTCTGAGTGGTGACCGATGGTCCCCGGGGGATGTTTTCCTTCTGAAAAAGAAGATGCTGTTGGAAGCTCCCATGGCCCAGCCAGTGGGTTGCCGATCTGGGTTTCTTGTCGAGCACCCGCCTTTGGCTTGTTCGGCTGTCTCTTCTTCTGGCGATGTTCTGTGTCTTCTCTGTATTCTAGAGAATGCTAAAAAGAAGCGAGCAGTGAGTGCTTCCAATCCGTCTCATCCCAAGGGAAAATGTGAAATTGTATGATCATGTAAACGTATTTGCCGTGGGACTATTTAAAAATGACTGAGCAAAGAGTACTCACGTCCCAATGACTAGAAGTCTGTCCCTCTTGTGTTATAAGTGTAGCAAGAGAGTAGACTTGTGGAATCACCATAAGTGATTCCATCTGGAAGGACACATCTGGTGACTTCCCTGTCTTTGCTGATGGCCAGCCAGTGTCCTGTCTGCCTTGCTGGGCCTGTCCATTTCCTGCTGGGCTTTGGACATAGGGTCCTTCTCCAGGTTCCCAGGAAATAGCAACCACTGTTCACACCATGGGTCGCTTCAGGATTTGCTACTTTTCCTGGGATTCCTTCCCTTTTTGTTTTGAGTCGGAATCTCACACTGTCACCCAGGCTGGAGTGCAGTGGCATGCTCATGGCCACTGTAGCCTTGACCTGATGGGCTCGGGTGATCCTTCCGCCTCGACCTTCCAAGCAGCTGGGACTACGGCGTGCGTGTGCCACCATGCCCGGCTAATTTTTTTGACTTATTGTAGAGACGATACAATAAGCTCTTGAGCTCCTGGGCGCTGGCAGTTCTCCTGTCTCGGCTTCCCAAAGTGCTGGGATTACAGGCGTGAGTCACCGCACCTGGCCCTTTTGTTTTGTTTTTTTGAGTTGGAGTCTCACTCTGTTGCCCAGGCTGGAGTGCAATGGCACGCTCACGGCCACCACAGCCTTGACCTGCTGGGCTCAGGTGATCCTTCTGCCTCACCTGCCAAGAAGCTGGAACCACAGGTGTGCACCACCATGCCCAGCTAATTTTTTGATTTAATGTAGAGACTAGGTCTTGCCAAGTTGCCCAGGCTGGTCTCCAATCCCTGAATTTAGACAATCCTCTCACCTCTGCCTCCCAAAGTGCTGGATTACAGGGGTAAGCCACCATGCCCAGTCTTCCTTCCCCTTTTCAAAAGACCCTATAATGCCTCTGCATACCATCTTTCCCTCAAAAATATGTCAAATGGGCAGGGTGTGGTGTCTCACACAGAAGTGGGAGGATTGCTTGAAGCCAGCTGTTTAAGACCAGCCTGGGCAACATAGCAAGCCTTCATCTCTCTCTCTCTCTCTCTCTATCTATCTATCTATCTATCTACACACACACACACACACACACACACACACACACACACACACACACACACGTATGTCAGGCTGGGTGTGGTGGTTCACACCTGTAATTCTGCACGTTGAGAGACAGAGGCAGGAGGATCACTTGAGTCCAGGAGTTCGAAACCAGCCTGGGAAACATAAGTGAACCCTCATCTCTATAAAAAAATTAGCTTGGTGTGGTAGCATGCACTTGTAGTCCCAGCTACTTCGGAGGCTGAAGTGGAAGAATCATTTGGGCCCAGGAGGTCAAGGCTGTGGTGAGCCATGATTGTGCCACTGCAATCCAGTCTGGGCAAGAGTGAGACTCCAACTTAAGAGAAAAAAAAAAAAAGACCAGATGCAGTGGCTCACGTCTGTAATCCCAGTAATTTGGGAGGCCAAGAAGAGAGGATTGCCTTAGCCGAGGGGTTCAAGACCAGCCTGGGCAACTTAGCGAGAATTCATCTCTATAATAAATCAAAAAGACCAGCTGTGGTGGCTCAAGCCTGTAATCCCAGCACTTTGGAAGGCCGAGGCAAGAGGATTGCCTAAGCCCAGGAGTTCGAGACCAACCTGGGCAACTTGGTGAGACCTTGTCTCTACAATAAATAAAAAAAAAAATTAGCTGGGCATCATGGCACACGCCTATAGTTTCAGCTACTTGGAAGGCTGAGACAGAAGGATTGCCAGAGCCCAGTAGGTTGAGGCGGCAGTGGCTGTGAGCATGCCACTGCACTCCAGCCTGGGCGACAGAGTAAGACTCCAACTAAAAAAATAAAAAATCAAAAAATTACCTGGGTGTGGTGGTGCATGCCTGTATTCTCAGCTACTTGGGAGGCTGACATGGAAGGATCACCTGAGCCCAGTAGGTCAAGGCTGCGGTGGCCATGAGTGTGTCACTACACTCCAGCCTGGGCGACAGACCAAACTGAGTGAACTTTATTCTACTTTTTTCTCCATAAATAACCAAATCTCAACATAAATGATAATTTTTCAATTTCTTTTTCAAGGTGCCTATGTTGATTTTAAAACTTCGTGGAGAAAATATTTTTTTCTCTTAACTAAAAGAAAAAGGATTTCTGCTACTAGAACTTATTACCCAGAAGAACAATTCTTGTTGCAACTATTTTTATGTACAAGAGACAGTTTTTAATTTTGCTGAATAATTTCTCTCTTTTGAGATAATCAAATATAATTTCTGCTATGTGCTGTATTACTTTGCAGTGGATGACGCCTTCTCACAGACAGTAAAGGAAATATTTGGAGGCCATGCGGACAAGAAAAACCTCGTGGATCCTTTTGTAGAAGTTTCCTTTGCTGGAAAAAAGGTTTGTACGTGATCTAAATGCAGATGTCACCGGGAAGACATGTTCAAAGCACCGAGGTTTTCTTGAAGTGGATTCCTGCTTATTCTTTGTCCAAACAGCCCCCTGATGAGTTGGACACGATGCAGGAACACAGATTATCTGAATCTGAACACGCCAGACTTCTCCACAGGTTTATTTTGGAGTGGAGAGTATGCTGAACACCAATTAGAAAACTCAATCTTTGGAAAGATTAGAATCGTAAAAGCTACTATTGAATTTTTGGGATTTAAGGACCAATCTTAATCTTGGGCAAACTCCCTCCCCCAGTGAATATTGTAGGGTGAAATCCCCAATGCCCTGTGGCCTTCTCTGGTCTTGATTCTCACCTCCCAGACCCCGTGAGCTGCTGGAACTGGAGAGAGTCAGGGAAACCCCATCTCCCTCCTTTGAAGAAATCTGGGAGACTCTTGGTGTCTCTTGGTGTGGAAACACCTACAGAGATGTCCAAAGACAGAAGAGTAAGATTTCACAGTAGAATCACAGTCCATTGTGGACAGCCACAGGCATGAAGAAGTCATATCTTTTACGTGTCTGAACCGTTTAATTATGAAAGCAAGACTCAGCCGGGCTCGGTGGCTCAAGCCTGTAATCCTGCGCCTTTGGGAGGCTGAGGTGAGTGGATTGCCTGAGCCCGCGGGTTCGAGACCCGCCTGGGCAGAGAGACCTCATCTCTACAATAAATCAAAAACTCAGCCGGGGGTGGTAGCGCATGCCTGTAATTCTGGTACTTGGAAGGCTGAGGCGGAAGGATCGCCGGAGCCCAGCAGGTCGAAGCTGCGGTGGCCGGCAGCGGCCACTGTACTCCAGTCTGGGCGACAGAGTGAGACTCCAACTCAAAAAAAAAACAACCTAGCCTGGTGCAGTGACTCACGCCTTTAATCCCAGCAATTTGGGAGTCAGAGGTGAGAGGATTACCTGAGCTCAGGGATTCGAGACCAGCCTAAGCAACATGGTGAGACCTCAACTCTACAATAAATCAAAAAATCAGCTGGGCATGGAGGCACATGCCTGTGGTTCCAGCTACATGGAAGACTGAGGTGAAAGGATCACTTGAGTCCAGCAGGTTGAGGCTGCGGTGACCATGAGTGTGCCATTGCTCTCCAGCCTGGGTGACAGAGTGAGATTCCAACTCAAAAAAAGAAAAGAAATATAACCCCCTTCTAAAAACATGTACCTCTCCTGTTGTGGCATCAAGTCTTCATGTTTTTTCCGTGTTGTAACTTGGCATTGAGCTTTCATGAGGGACTGACTGGATATTGTCTCAGCGTTATTTTCAAAAAGTTGAGGTTTATAAAGACCTCCTTGAGTTGTAAAGACCATGTGTATTACCATGTGTAACACATAAAAAGGAGCTTGTTAAGCTTTCTGATAAATTACCTCATTTTTTCAGCAGTCTAGAATGCTTGTAATGACAAAGTCAGGTCTGACCTCCTTGATAGTTA